GGGGGGTAGAGGTACGGGTTAGGGTTAGGATAGGAGATGCTCTTTGAAGAGGGGGGTCTTAAAGACTTTCTTGAAGACAGACAGGGACTCTGCTGTTCTTGTGGAGCTTGGTAGGTGGTTCCACCATCTTGGAACGACACATTAAACAGTCTGGATTGTCTTAAGCTGGTGAAGGCTCTGCTAGACGAAAATCCATTAATGACCGGAGTGATCGAGTTGTGACATAAGCCTTTTTCAAGAGGATTCAAGTCGATGGGAGCCGTACCCTTAAGCACTTTGTAGGCTAGCATCAGGGACTTGTATTTGATACGGGCAGCCAGAGGTAACCAGTGGAGTTCAATGAACAGAACTTCATGTGTGCTAAAGCACGTCCAGATCCCGGCTGGACCCTGATGTCATGCTGGAATAATATTTGAGTGGGCACAAAATCAGCTGGGGACCAGAGGAGCTCTGGTACATGCACAGGAAATGAGCTCAGGAGAAATATTATTCGACAGTCTTCTTTCAGCTCATGTAAAAAAAACATTTATCCTCAAAGATTTGTGCCACTTTAACATGAGTTTGAAAGCACGAAGCGTCTAAGTGAGCAGCTTCTGGAGTGAGAAACATCCAGTTCTGATGGGTTTTTATTCGACCATCTATTTTAATTGGGTGGTTCTTGTTCCTAATAGGGTGGTAGCTGTTGTCTGTGTCAAACTCTGCTGTCTTTACCTCAGTTGTGGATATTAGTAGAGTCCAGTGGCGGGCCGTGCATTTTACACCTAGGCCTTCAGTAGTGCTCCGTCTGAATCAATTCACCCCTCAATAACTATTTTATGGTTATAGAAATCATCTTAATATGTAGAAATACAGTAGGGATGTCCCGATCCAGCTTTTTGTATTAAAGTTGATTTTTTTTTTCTACTTACTTAGTTGTCAGACTCATGTTGAACAGGGATTTACTCTGATAACAACTAAAGTTTACACAGACCTGTGGGTTAGGAGATGCTAATGCTAATGCTAATGCTAATGCTCGGGTGGGATCGGACTTTAAAAAAAAATGTATCTGGAGTCTCGATTGGCATTTTCTCATGCCGGCCGATACGATCCAAATATCGGATCAGGACAATCCTAAAATACAGTCTAAAGATCAGGGGTGCACAAGTCTTCTACTCCTGCAGCTACAGCTGCGATCCCCCCCCCCAAAAAAACAAAAAAAACAAAACAAAAACATCAATAATGTCCTCATAAACTCGCAATACCATTTAGGAAAAAAACAACATTTTACTCACTTACTTTTCTTGAAAAGTCCGTTTTGAAAATGGTCTTGACAGTAAATCCGCCACGAAATAATAAAATAGCTATTACATTAACTAACACAACTATATTTCGGTTTGTTTGCTAGCTTTGCCCTGATTGGATATCTGACTATCCAATCAGTGGGTGTGGGTACGGTGGCATTTCCGGGGCCTTCGCGCAGGCCCTGGCATCACCAACCTAACATCTGATTGGTTGAAGCAACAGTGTACTCGACATGTATTTTCTGTGGGGGGGGGGGGGCTGCAGAACGGATTGTGAAGGCCTCCTGGCAGACATCTTTGACTTTGACCCTGCCTAGCGACAAAGGATGCCTGAAATGTGATTGGTTAAATGCTTTTATATGAAAATACATGTCTGGAAGCAGCGCAACCAGGGGAGAAGCTATGAAAGGAAGCTGACAGACTATTTAGAGATATTTAATACCTTTTTTATGGACAAAATATCATTAACATCAGTCTGTGATTCAGATATTTTCTTAGGCCTTCAGAGAAGGCCTTGCAGGCCCTGACGGCCCACCACTGGTAGAGTCACAGGAAGCTGTTAACAGCATTTGTAATCGCTGTTAGGGATTTTTGGAAGTCTAAGTCCCTTTGGAGAGAAACAGAGAATGTTTTATGAAGCTATAAACAGAGAAACTCATCATAAAAAAAACAACGTGATGTTACCACACCACGTTTTGCTCGGTCCCCTCTCCAAAGGCCTTTCACACCAAGATGTGAATATCGTGCTTGATGTCAGAGATAATGATGAGTTTGCAGCCTCTATTTGCAGTCTGTACTTAAACTAAAGCACTCGGGTGTTCTGGTCCTTTTGTGATAGACTTATCACTTAATCCGAGCCTCCGACGGTTTTTTTCTTTTCTTAACCAACTTGGCTCCTTCTCCTGACCACACACCAAGGAAAAGAAATCCCTGACATGACAATACTTTAAAAACTGCAACAAAGGCATTAAGGAAAGTTGTTTGAGGCAAAAAAAAGTATCTTAGAGAATGGAAATATAAATATAATTCCCACCATAAACCTGAACAGAGTCTGAAGTTGGGACTTTCCACTTGAATTTCAGACAGTGTGAATAAATTGTTGGACATTTAGGAAAAAAATAAATATATTTCTTAGTTGTGGTCCACTTTCCCTAATTCAGCACCTGGTTCAACTGGATTATGAGGCTTCGGTGTTTTAGGTTAATCTGTTTCATGTGTGGGTGAGTTTTCTAACACATTGGGTTTAATTTTGACCATCCTCAGTTCCTGGCTCCCAACGGGACTCTAAAATGCTGTTTTTAGTCATAGTGACTGTTTCTTTTTAGTCTTTTGACTCTGTATCCATGTCTAAAACCCTGTTTCTGTCTGTAGGACCACTGTGTGTAACATTGTGGGCAGCTCACTGAAAGCGGTGGATGTGAGTACAGAAAAAGCTCCGGAGGATGTTGCACACCTGGATGCTTTCTGCATCAAAGACAAAGGTCAGTAAGATTACAGTAGCTCTCTGAGGGAAACTAATCAGTTCAGGTTAACTAAATCTTAGTAAAACAGCGACATTGGGGGAAAAAGGAAATCATTTTATAAAGTTAGTATGCCTAGAACTGTGAATGGATTCAAATTAATTAAGTTGTTTTCATTTGGTTTATGTTTATCTAAACATCCTAATTTATTTTTTCTGTTAAGACACAGTTTAAATTATACAGTTTAAAAGTTTTATTGCTGCTCTGACTGTCAAAATAAATATTTACACAGTACCAATAAAGTCACTGAAAATGATATGTCTAAGTACAAACTCTGTCCGTAAACATCCTGTTTTGTTGGTTTAAAAAACAGCTTCAATTGACCATTTTAGTGATTTTGTATTCTGTACTAAACGGTTTGTAAACTTTGTATCATAGTACACCGAGAATCATCTTGTTTGCTGAGCTATAATGAATCATGAATCTCTGTTTTGCATGGAGGGAAAGACGGTGAATAAATAGCTTGTTGCTGAGAATTTGTTTTATGACTTTTAAGAGGATGATGTACAAAAATGTATTGAAATCTCTGTCCAGATTTTTGATCTCTACAAGAACACAAGGGGTCTAATTCCCAATATTAGACATTCGGTCTCAGAACATGTGGCATTTATTGTTTCTCGATATATTTCTCGATATATGTATATCTATTTCTATATCTTTACATATACATATGTGTGTGTTTATGTATACAAAAAGACTAAAATATGTCAATTTTTATATACTGAACATTACCTATTGCTGTATTGCCTAACTTTAAAAGTTAAATGACGGCCAATGTAAATAATAAAAGCATACGTTTTTAACTGTCAGCATGAGACGTTTGCAGGCTTGTTTTCAGCTCTGTCTGTTTTTCCCCGGCAGACATGCCCTGTGGAGACCCGCCCTCCTTCCCGAACGCGCGTCTGCAGCAGCCCTCCGGGTTGCAGATGGGGGACGAGCTGCTGTACGGCTGCCTGCCCGGCCACGCCATGCCGGGGGGGCAGGCGGCCTTCAGCCTGCTGTGCGACAGCTGCGGGGAGTGGTACGGGAGCGTGCAGATCTGTGCCAAAGGTACAGATCCCCAAAGGTTTACCTCCCTCCCCTTCAAAGCTCTGAAGTGGTCGATTCTTCTGGAAAACTGGCTGTAGATAAAATAGATGCTCTCACACCTGAGTGAGACATGAAGCTCCATAAAGGAGATAAAACTCCTGATCTAGGTAACCGGTTGGTCACCAGGGTCAGGTTTCTATTGTACAGCTGTGGGTCTGTCTCAAGATAAATAAAAATGGTGGAAAAATTAAAAAACGGAACAAAAATGTCGTGATAAATTCTATTTTTATAACCCTAATCTAGGTTTTTGTACTTACCTTGTGATTCTATCCATAGTTAAAGTTTCAGACATTTGTAAAGGCCAAGTTTTACTTATTTACATGGCCATCATTTTATTTCTAAGAGCTTTTGAAAGTTTTTTCTTTGTTTGTCGTAAATGTTTTAGATCCTGTCTCTCTCGATAGTGGATTGTTAATGCCTCTATGAAGACTAGATTATCCCAAATCACACTGGATTTTAAAGATACATTTTCTAAAATTGTGAATTCAGGAGCAATATTGATTTTAGATTGAAACCGCTGCTGGTAAAAGAGTTGTTGTTCCAAAAGATACTTATGTGTCACCTTAATTTCTTATTTATTATGTTAATTTTATTTGTCTGGTGCATCGTTTGCAACAGGTTTTGCCACCTGTTCTCCTGCTCTTATAAACAATTGTTTTTACATCATTACAGTAGAAAACTTAAACCAGAAAGTCTGGTCACAAACATCTGGTGGTGAAGCTCTTTTTATGCAATGAATGGGACGGAAACATGTGGTTTTGCACATTTATGCTCTGAATGATGAGCTCATTTTTTATAGAAATTAGCTGGGAAAAGTTTCTTGTCAAACTGTTTTCAATCTAAAATTACACAGACCAGTTGCCAGGTTTGTCTGTCAGCTAAATCTTTTCGGAGAATGACTCTTTTTTTTAATTATCTGTTCCTGCAGATGAAGCTGAAACCCACATAGACTATGAGGACAAGTTTACCCATTCCTACAGAGACACGGACCCCGATGGGAGTCCGGAGGAGCCCCGTGATGAGGTCTACAAGAAGGTGTACGGAGATGGATACCAAGATGAGAGTGCCAGCGAGGAGCAGCAGGAGAAGAGACTCAGTGTCCAAGCGGAGGAGTATCAGGAGCCGATTGAAGGCCACGAAGTGGAAGGAGAAGTCATCGACGTGAGCAGAGCATTTGAGAGACCGGTAGAAGAAGGAGCAGAAACAGAAGATCTGACCGGCCATCCGAGGTGGGACCAGGAGGGCGGAGAGGAGGTGAGGACCGATGCAGCCGCGGCCACGGAGGAGCCGGTGTCTCTCCTCTCGCAGAAACACCTCTTCTGGTTCCCCTCCGAGGCCTTCCAGGAGGAAGGGCCCCCGGTGTCCGGCGACCCCTTCACACAGACGCCCCAGAGGGCCTCCGGGGCCCAGTCCGAGGAGAGCAAGGAGCAGGAGAGCCAGGAACCACGGCCGGATCCCGACGAGGACCCGGAGGACCCCGACGATCACGACGACACGGACGATCAAGAAGACGGGCGCCATGACGACCAGGACCTCCACGAAGACGATCCGGACGACAGTCACCAGGAGGAGGACCATCAGAGGACCCCGGCCCAGCAGGATGTGATCGGGGACCTGGACTCGGAGGAAAACCACAAAAGCCGCGAGGACCGCGAAGATCGCTACGACCACTACGACATGGGCGAGCACGAGGACGAACGGGAGGATAAACACGACGGGGACCGAAGCCACGAGGACCACGGTGACCATGACGACCACGGCAACCACGACGACCACGACGACCACGGCGACCACGACGACCACGACGACCACGATGGAGACCATCTGGACGGTTCTGAGGAGCATCCGGACCCCGACGACGAGCATTACGAGCCGCATGAAGACGAGGAGGAAGAGGAGGATGAGGACCCCTACGTTTACCACGACCATCACCATGACGACAGGAGCTACGAAGACCACGACAGCCACGAGGAGGACGCCCCCCCGCCGCCATTGGTCGTCCGTCCGGCCGCCGCCGCCGGGGGGGCGGGGCAGAACGTCACCCAGAGGGCGTCGGGGGGGACGGTTGCCAAGGGCGACAGCTGGCTGGACGGCCACCCGGTGGATCTGGAGGACGAAAACGGCGAATCCACCACGAAGGAAAACACCCCGGTGGACAGAGAGGCCACGGACAGACCCAACGAGGTGGAGCACCGGTCTCCCACGGCAACGCCGGAGGGGGGGGCGGGCTCCACCGGGGCCTCCCCAGACCCCCCGGGGCCCTCAGACCCCCCCTCCTACCCCGACACCCTGGATTACGACACCCAGCAGGGCGCCCCCACCCAGCCCTGGCTGGACGGCCTTACCGAGCCCCCCCCGCTGAATCATGGCGGCGGCCCCCCCGTCCGGCGGTTGCCCGGGGAGACGGGGGAGCGGGGCGAGCCGGAGGGGGAGACGGGGGAGGCCGTCTGCGTGGGGGAGGGCTGCCCCCCCCACCCCCCCAGCCCCTCCGGCCGAGGCCCAATGGTGGCGGCCATCATCGTGGCGGTGTGCGCGGTCGCCACGGCGGCCGTCGTCGGGGTGTGGTGTTACCGGCGGAAACAGCTGAAGAGCTCCATGTACGAGATGAACGGGAAGAGCCAGAGCAGGCAGGGCCAGCAGATAGAGATGCAGCAGAAGGTTTAGGGGGGGGGGGGGCACTACGGGGGGGCGGGAGGGACAAAAGACCACGAGCAAACCGGGACAGGGGTCACAGAAAATGCTGTGAGACTTGAAAAAAAACTTTGAAACTGGACTGAATACTAAATGCTAACAGTTCCCTGACCTGCCAGTTCCAAGGAAGCCCGTTTCTCACGTGTTGTACTTTATCCGCCATTTTAGAGGCTCTCCGTCCAGCCGGACACACGAATGGACTTCAAGATGGCTTCAAAACTGAAAAAGGGATTGTGGGAAAACCGCAGCACGAGACCCGCCTGCATTTATGAACTGAGAAACAAAACTCTTGGACATTGTGGTTAAGATTCTCTGTGTAACCTTATTGTTGTTGATTTAATTGAATGTCCTTTTTATAATTACTGTGCGTTCTTTCTTTCTTTCTTTCTTTCTTTCTTTTTTTCTTTCTTTCTTTCTTTCTTTCTTTCTTTCTTTCTTTCTTTCTTTCTTTCTTTCTTTCTTTCTTTCTATCGTGTTTATGGAAATGAGTAGCTCCACAAGTGCTCTGAATTGAACAGAAGAGTTTCGTGTGTATACGTTAGCAAAGTGGGAGCAAAGTGTACGATTACATAATAACAAAAGGTACGAGGATGCAAAGTGTAAAGAGAGAGTAAGTCTAACTTTGGGAGGAGAGGACATATCGAACCTCTGTGGATTTTGGCAGTGGGCTGGTGAGAGGCAGACACATCCAGACTGCAGACTCCAGCGGGGAATGGAGCTGATAAGGAGGATGTGTGTCTCCGGGGTGAGCCGTTTATAGCCGTCTGAGGAGCTCCAGGGCATTCAGACCAACCAGATTAAACACGGTGGTGACAGAGAATCATAACTTCAAATGTGAAAGTTTTACCTAAAAAAGAGAGATAACTTTCTGACGGATCAGGGTGCTGTTAATGTAATGATATCCATAAATATATGTCTCAGTTGATTTATGTTCTAATCGGCCCTTTGTACCTTTTTTGAACAAGAAAGAGAAGGACAACATCCATAATACACAGATCAATTTGTAACCAAGGTTCAGAAATATTTTAAGCATCTTTGTGATCCAAGATAAGTTTAATGCTGTCTGTTTTAGCTGAGTTTAACCTATTTTACCCACACAATGGGAAAGGTAAATGTCTGGTAAATGTCTGGCTGCTAAAGCTCACTTATTCATCACAGAGAAAGACATTAAATGAACAATAACAGTAATATTTCTGGTGTGGAAGCTCTGAAACTCACACAGACGACTCATTCAACATGAAATTAGATTAATTGACTATCTGATTTAGTCCCACTGTGTGGGGCTTTTCCCCAAGGTCCAGTTCAACTAAAATAAAATAAACTAAATCAACTGACCTGCCGTGTAACAAAAGGATAATTCAGTAATTTCTCTTTTTGCAAAGCGGTTCCCCTCATATGTTCCTGTTGACAAAGGTAAAGGATTTTCTCTGCATTATGAACCTTGTTCAGAATATTGAATACCTTCCTGTAGGTGAAGTACTGTAGTTAAACCCCCAGTGGCTTTTGTAATATCACAACTTTCATATTTTTATGCATAAGTCTGTGATTCTTCCGCTTTAAATCTCGATGTTATGAACTGGATAAACAGTTACTTTAGGCCTCATGGAGAGGCGCTTTAAATCAGATGATTTATTGTCTTATTCGTGCAGCAGCATTGAAAAGTGAGAAAATAACATTTCTGATGATCTATTTTGTATATCTGGGCTCCAAACAGATGCTGAGCAGTTGTTTTCCTCTGTTTGTCTACAGGTGACCAGAAAAATAAGTTGCTTTTAAGCAGATTTAAAGAAAAATTCAGCATGATTTACATGATTTCTTGAAAATAAATATAGAAAAGTCATTTGAACAAAATTTAAATTTAGTATTTCTTCTCAGAGCTTTAAGGCATAGATGAGTTGACTCTGTTAGTAAATTAATTATAATATCAGAAATTTGTTTAGCCTTATTAAAAATAAATGTACAGTAGCATTTGTATAAGTGTGTGAAATGTACTTGCCATTCTTTCTATACTGTTTTAAATGAGCTGTTTACTGAAGAAACTGTTATAAAAAAAGGGGAAATTGTAAATAATTTAAAATAGGAATAACAGAGATTACAGCTGATATCAGTTTGTCGTACTAGTTTTGATGGTCTTTCTTTTAAAACACAAAATTTGGGTTTTAAAAACAGGAACAGTTGCTTTCCTAGCCTGCTTTCACTAATCTGATAGGAGATGACGAGTCTCTGTAAACTCTGTTTTAACTTCTGGATGTACGACTGTAGAGCTAAAGGAACATTTCCTCACAAAGACAGCCAGCTTTGTACTTTACCTTCAATTAGACCTTTGATTAGACTCTGCTGTTGGATAAAATACTGGTGATCATGATCCTAATAATGATAGAGAGCTGAAATGTTGACTTTAGATTAGTTTGTTAATTGTTGTCCACTTATGTGCCGAGTCAGCGAGAATTGATTAATTGTTACTTGCAGGATTTAAAGATTTCTCTACGTTATCATCTCAAAGAGCCTGATGTGTTAGCCTGAAAACTGTGCTGTAGATGTGTTCTCAAAGCCTCAATAAAAGTATTAAACATATTTGGTTGTTTTTCTTTATTCGCTTTTACTGGAGTCAGGGTCAAACAGTTTGACTCAAGTTGGAGATCCTCTATCGGACTCTTCACCCGTTTTGTGTCGGGCCAGTTTTTCCCCTCATTGGCTTCGACCAATCAGAGCCTTTTTAAATAAAACTATGTATCCACGGCTCTGTGCCGCCTTCTCCTTTGGTCAAAAGGTTGAAAAGGATGAGAAGACACCGAGATTAAAGAGAAAGTGTGGTCAGTAAAGAGGGAGAAGCCATGAAAAAGACGCAGGGGGAATGTTCCCCTGCGGGTTTTAGCAGTTCTGTGTGACAAACTGCACAGAGACTCAATGTTCAAACAATATTAAACAACTCTGGTTTTTGCTATGAATGCCTCTACTCAGCTTCAACCACATCCTACAGGCCTATTTCTGGGAATGTTTTTTTTTTAATCTTTGTACAAAAAAAACTACTGAGAGCTCTCCGGTTAGATCAACATTTAAGGCATCTCTTAAACGGGTACTAGTAGTTCAAAGTGTTCCTTTTTAGACATATGAAGCATTTGGGTCTGAATGGATGGAGGGACACTTATATTTTTCCACTTTCTATCTTTAAATGAATTAGAACGGTAAAATATTTTTTTTTTGCGAATGGAAAACGAGATTAAGAAGCCCAGCTACAGTTTTCATTACGTGAAGTGTGATTTTTGTAAAATTCTTTTATTGTAAAAAAAAAAAAAAGGGAGATGATTCACAGTGAAGGAATGAATTCATAAAAATAAAAAGAGTAAAATACATCTGTCCTTTTGGCCTCTGTCATTAATTCATTGAGTCCATGTGGCCAAACTGGATGTCTGAGTGCTAAATTGAATCATTTAGCCGATTTTTAGCTGCAGATAAGAAAAGTGGATCAATTAATACCTTTTAAATCTTTAATAAATACACAGTTTTTGAGTGTTTTTTCATCAGAGTTTCAGTGCTTCTGCAGATGTGGGCTAGTCATCCTCATCCAGGAACTCGTCTATAAACTCCACCACCTCTCCCTGTGAACACAAAGACAAACAAAAGAAAAACAGCTCAAAAAAGTGAGTCATTTCTACTTCATGGGGTTGTTCATCACTAAAAAGATTAAGGGGGGAAAAAACTAAATGCCATTTCCCACAAACGACATGTAATCGACATGTTAAAACTCCTGCTGGGCGGTGCTGCCCCCCCGTGGCCGTCTGTATTATTGCAGCCGTATAAACACTGGGCTCATTGTGCTGCAGAGCATCACGTGACCAGGCCGGATAACTCTGGCTATTTTTCCTAAGTTCAACGAGGACGGAGCCAGTGAAAAAGCAACAGTAGCTGATGTCTGTTTACAAACCGGTCTCCATCTTGTGTTCTCTTCGTTCGACAAATGAATGACGCACTTGGAGACACACAAACGCAGACACACAAACGCAGACACACAAACGCAGACACACAAACGCAGACACACAAACGCAGACACACACCTCGTCGTCGCTCGCCAGGCGCCTCTTGGAGAACTCCAACATCTGCAGCTGCAGCGTGGTCTGATTGTAGTAGCGCACTGCCTCCTGTGGCAGGCAGGCACACACCAATGAACACACATAAATCTCCTTGTGAGATCAGTAAAGTATTCAATCAATCAATAAATGAACACATTTTCACAGGAAAAAAACACATAAATTGAGACGTTTTCACAGGAAAAACACATAAACGACAACAATGTTATATTTTACACATTCTGTTGATGGTTGCAAGAAAAAATATGACTACTAATTGGATGAAGACTGACCTTCCCATGATCACTCAGTGGTTACAGAAACTAAAACATGTTTACATGATGGAATATATTAACAATTACAGCCAAAAGTGGACCCCACTTACTGAATATCTGGGTTAGGACTCCTATACACTTAAACTATATCCATGTATTATTATTATTACTATTATTATGGCTTTTTTAAATAAAAAAATTCCCAGAACTAGATAAGATATGTGCTATGTCCTTTACAGTGTGACAGATTTGACACAATTTAAAAAATGTATATATAAATTCCCTGTTTGTTTTGTGTCTTTTTCTTTGTTATGCTTATTGCCTTTTAAGTTGCATTTAATGCAATAAAGTTTTTTAAAAAACATATAAATTAACTCTTCATGTTCTACCTGTGAGGACTTCTGCCTTAAATGTCATCTTCCATAAAGTGTGTCGCCATGGATACTACTCACTGATCTGGGGAGGAAGTCCTCCTCCGTGAGGTCCCACTGGGTTTTGTGGTACTTGTAGTAGGCCACGTTGTTGTTCATAACCTCGTCGGCGGGGTCGAACAGCACGTAGCTGGCCGCGCACGGGACCGCGTTCTTCAGGTCCTTCACTGGAGTCGGGAAACGATTAACTTAACCCCGAAAGAGTTCAGGCATCAGAACGCAAACACTCGGCCTGTTCCACCCACTCACGTTTGTAATAGGCGAACTGCAGGTAGTGGTACATGGTGGCCACGAACTTCTCCACCACGAAGCCGCCGACCACCGGCGTCAGCTCCTCTTCACACCGCACTTTTCTCTCCAGGACCTCGATGTAGTGGTCTGGAAAGGGAAGAAGCCAAAGGCAAGGCAAGTTTATTTGTATAGCACATTTCGTGTAAAGGACAATTCAAAGTGCTTCACTGAGAATCTAAAAGCAGAAAAACAAGAAAAGAAAAATAATCAAAATGAGACAGATGAAAAGTGAAGGATGCTTAGAAAATACATTAAATTCCCACATGCACAGTTAAACAGAAGCGTTTTCAACCTGGATTTAAACATTGTCAGAGTCGGGTTCTGTCTCACGTCTTCAGGAAGTCTGATCCAGATTTTAGGAGCCTGGAGCTGAAATTAAGCTTCACCTGGTTTAGTTCTGACTCTGGGCCCATCAGGAGACCAGAACCTGGTTTAGTTCTGACTCTGGGCCCATCAGGAGACCAGAACCTGGTTTAGTTCTGACTCTGGGCCCCAGCAGGAGATCAGAACCTGAGGCTCTCAAAGTCCGAGCTGGTTCCTCTGGCTCTAACATGTCAGAAAGGTATTTTGGTGCTCGCCCATGAAGAGACTTGAACACAAGCAGAGCTGTTTTAGAATCTATTCTCTGAGTGACAGGAAGCCAGAGGAGAGACCAAAGTCTTCCTTGAGTTCTAAACCACATTAAGGAGCTGTAAGCGGAAAATAGCTAACGGAGACACTGTCACGCGTTGGGGAATTTTTGTTTTTTGTCCTGTCTCCATGTTGTCTAGTCATTTCCTGTTTTATTTTGAAAGGTTCATCCCCTTGTGTCAGGCCACTGGACTCCCCTGTGTGTCACATAGACTTAGACTTAGACTTCCTTTATTATTATTGCACAAAAAACACAAGGTGAATTTTGACAACCAAATGTCGATTACTTGGCTACCAGTGTAACAGAGATAAGACCTTATTCCTACACAATAAATATGTTTTCTATAACTAAGCGCTAAGAGCTAGCTATATACAGGGTAAAGAATTATATTTATACATGTATATTGCACTTCTTTTTGCAAGGAAACATCAATAAATATGTGTGTGTGTGTGTGGGTGGCGTTAAGTAGTCTGATGGCCAGGGGGGAAAAACATGTCTGATTGTCTTCCTTGATAACCTGTTGTGTTCCCCTGGGGTTCCCTTCCCTCATGTGTTTAAATAGTCCTCGTTCCCCTTGTCTTGTGCCAGTATGTTTTCGTCATTTGTCTCCGTCTTATGACTATTACTGAGCTAACCTAGCCTTGCCTTGCCCCCGTTTATGCCTCGTAAGAGAGTTTTGATTTTGTACTTTGCAACTTTTGGCCCTCTTTTTATAGTGAGTGTATTTTCTATTTTGTTCACAGCTTTGTCTTCCTCGTTTTTTGAGCGATTATACTTTGATACTTTGTTCATAGTCTTGTTTATTTAATTTGGTACTCTGTTTCACTCCTTTTGAGTGCGTTTTGTGTTCAATAAAACCTTTTTGTACCACCTCTCTGTGCCGGAGTCCTGCCTTGTTTTCCAACCCTGACGGACACAAACGGGGGAGAACTGACCGGCGATGGACGGGTAGAAGTCCTTGAAGTCTTTGACGTCTCGGGGCCCCTCGGACGCGGCCAGACACTCGTCGTAGACCTTGAAGAAGTCCCTGAGAGCCAGCTCCATGTCTGAGACCGAGGTCCGGAAGTTATCTCCATTATAGGCCCTGACGGAGCGCACAAACAGCATCTGGAGGGAAACCAGATCAGAACGGGGCCACCATCAAAAACAAAGCTTCAGCACTTTTAATAGAACTCTCAAGTCTGAGAAGTTTTAATCGTTTTTTGGCATGATTTTTTCTTAAACAGGTAAAAGAAACCAGAGAAAACATCAACACTGTGGACAATCTGCAGATTTTTGTGGTGTAGGAATCACAATCAGAATCAGAAATACTTTAATAATCCCAGAGGGGAAATTATTTATTAATAGGAAAGTTAGATGCCTTAAATTGGACCTAAAACCACCTGCAGTTGTGACCATATCCTCTCTTTTTTTAAAGCTTTTTTAAATAATAAAAAAAGAAGGAACATATTGTTTGCCCAACTGGATGCTGCAAAAACTATGTCTGATGGCACCGTTACCGTGGCAACGGGAGAGATGCAGCTGACAGGACAAAGGGAAAACATCAAAAATGACTTTGAGTTGAGGTGAGCTGAAGAGGAGACGTCAGGATGTGAAGCAGGAACAAAACGGAGAATAATTCAAACATTTTCGTTCTGTAGTCATTTTGGGAATTATTAGATCTCTGAAAGATTAAATGGATTAATTTGGGTTATAGCTCTTGTTCTCCATAAATGATGTAATCACTGATGTGTCACTGAAGGGAATCTGTAGATATTAAACTTTTAATCACTGTCCTTTTCTGTCCATGTTGTAAGTTAAGGATCTTAGAAGCTTTATGACAAAAACAAAAATAAATTTTTCATGACTCCTGATTTTTTTTATACTAAACGGCCCCTCCTGTCGTTTCTTTGCATTTTGAGTCACTTTTTATCTCCATGTTTGGTTGTTTTTCAATGTACATGTTTTTTGTTTTATTTGAAGATATTCTAAACTCTGTACACACAATCAAAGGGTCTCTGTGTGTGTGTGTATGTCTGTGTGTGTCACTGTGAGAGTGTGCGTGTGTCACTGTGTGTGTCTCTGTGTGTGTCTGTGTGTGTCTCTGTGTGTGTGTCTTTGTGTGTATGTCTGTGTATATGTGTTTGTGTCTGTATGTGTGTCTCTGTGAGTGTGTGTATGTCTGTGTGTCTCTGTGTTGTTTGTGTGTGTGTGTGTGTGTGTCTCTGTGTGTGTGTGTGTGTCTGTGTGTGTGTGTGTGTGTGTGTACCTCGTAGGATTTGGTCTCCAGGTCTTTGAGGTGCTCTTCTGCCCCGGGCAGACTCTTGTAGTAGGCCATGTTTTTCTGCATCATCTCGTCGTCCGGGTGCTTCAGCAGGAAGGTGTGAGCGGCAGAAACCGCTTTGGCCAAGTTGTTGGACTAAAAATACACAACACAGAGAAGCATTTTAAAGTCAACTCTAATAAACCACACAACTGGACACACACCATCTGACCTGAGGGGTATTCTGTGTTACACAAGCTGTTACATCCCCATTTAGATGGCAATCTGAGGTGTTATGAGAACTACCAATTCATTCATTAGTTAATGAGTCTGTCTCTTATTTCTCTTTGATGTGTTGCTGTCCCAACCAGACGATTTAATCTAGGTTTATTTTGTTAATTTGCTCTTGAATGTGAAGACGTTACAGCTTTCTCACTGTTTCAGCAAAACGACAGAAGAACATCTCGGTTTTTACGCAACACCCCCCACAGACACACAAACACACAAACACACACACTGTATCCGTGGCACGTAGGTGACGTCAGGACGCCCCGGGCTATGAAAAAAAAGTTATTTTCAATCATTTAAAGTCCAACTTTCAGTGGGTAACTATCACCAAGTGAACCCATCTGTATATCACAGATTAAAAACCCTCTGTTTGGGACTTGGTTCCCCCTCGTAACCACATCACGCGTAGCCTACTCCAGGTCTCCGGCTCACTTTGAAGTAGGCGTACTGCAGGTATCTGTAGGGCTCCCTGCGCTCGAACTCCTCCAGGGTGTCCCTGCTGGGCAGCGTCTGCCGGAAGGCGGGCAGCCCCTGCTTGCATCGCTTCAGGCACTGCGCCCTCTTCATCACGTTCCCAAACGCGCGCAGCTCCGGGAAGTCCGCGAACTTCTGCTCGTCGTCCAGGCGCACGGAGCTGCAGTTGAGGTTGCAGAAGGCCTCGCTGTCCCGCAGCAGCCGGTAGAGCCGCAGAGACACCTCGATGTACTCCACCGTCTCCGGCCACTTCTCCCCGGTGTACTGGTCCAGCGCGTACTTGTAGGCGGACTCCAGGGGCATCAGCTCGTGCCTGGGGAAGCTCCGGAAGCTGTACTTTTCGTACTGGGAGTGCACGGTGGAGAGGAAAAGAGCGACCAGCAGCGCCGTGGGGACGTGAGGAGAAGTGGAGGGTGCCATTTTTTTGGGATTTGGATTTGGGAATCGTCCCGGTGCGCGTCGCTCCGTGGGCCCGCCTCTGGTTCCCCTCCCCCGGGCAGCGGGCAGGTCTGGTCGCGCTGGTGGAGCTGCTCCTCCCCCCCTGAGAAGTAAATCAGTAAATCACAGCCGCTTTCCCGCAGCATCCACGGGCTGGGAGCCCTACAGAAGTTTGACCCGCGGCCCTTTTGCGCTCAGCATGTTTGGAGTTAGTTAGACGCTATTTGACCCATTTAATTGCCACAACTGGCTACTTAAACCCCCACCTCCCAAGCTTTAGCGTTTCTTCCCAGTCTCCACTAACTGAGCCCCCGCTGAGTGTCCCTCCCACTGCCACGTAGGAACATTCCTGTGCGCTGAGCCCCCCCCCGGCAGGCCCACTAGTTACCAATCCGTGCGTAACAACAGAAATTTCTGCGCAAATGGCGCAACTCTTTGTTTAAACGTCTATTTCGGTTTTTAAAAAAAGGCGTAATCACAGGGCTGTGTCTCTGTGTCTGGGTGTATCTCGTGGGAGTGGGAGTGCTTACCCCCCCCCCTGCGTACGGAGACCACTACGCTACCACGTTGACACATCTTGGAGGCTGCACTGCGCAGGAGCGATACGTGGTGCCCAAAGTTGTCCCATTCAATCACAACCGCGTCGAGTTAGCAGTGAGAAACTGGGAACGGGGGACAGGAAACGACCCCTCTGATTTCAAATTAAGAGCTCAGGTTTGGGGCTCAGACCTCCTCTGAGGGGAGTCTGTGCGTAATGCCAACGTCAGATTTTAAGCGCATCCAAGACTTATTGAGGCTTGTTATTAAAGTGGTCTTTTTCGGCGCCCGGGTCAGGATTTTCTTGTAAACCTAAACCGGAAGTGGTGTTTGTATCTCCTCCAGCTTGACCAGTGTTTGGCTGGGACCAGGGGCTGGGTTTTCTCCCCGAGCCGGAGCAGAGGAAACAGACGCACCGGGCAGCCAGGGAGTCAGTCCAGCCGCCAGCAGCAAACGTTCCCACTCTCCGTTTTCCGTCGTTTGGACATTTGTCTGCGTTGAAAAATGATCACGTGCATGCAGGGGATGCTGTCTCTGTCGGTTCTGGTGACCTTTGCCGCCTGCAACGCGCCTCCGGTACCGTTAGACGACATTTTAATTGAGAAAACTTCCGTGCCGGAGCAGTGCGTGCGCGCAGTCAAAGTGGGGGACTTTGTCAGATATCACTACATCGGCACGTTTCCGGACGGCACGAAGTTCGACTCCAGGTGAGTTTTGACTGTTTTTTTCTGCTCGCGTAAAAACTTCTCGGAGCAAAGCTGCGCGCGGCGTGCGTGATGCGTAAAAGTGCGCCTTGTGGTTGGTCCATGTCAGCCACGCAGGCAATGGGAGATGTTGGGGGGGGAAATCCGCGAGCCCCAAAACATTTCTCTGCAGGGATTGTTCAGAAGAAACGAACAGATCCCAGTTTTTCTGACAAGAAACACGAAAACTGCTTAAATATTTTCACGGTGGTTGAAACTGGAAGTCTGTAATTCACCTTAAAGTAAAGAACTGACTGGATCAGACTTTGTAAACCACTTATCTGACCAACACCAATGACTGGTTGACTCAGAAAAGCCAATATCTGATTCTGGACGGAGGTTTTCGTGTTTTGAAATCAAAAGAAAATATATTTTTTTATCTATATATACATTTTTTTCTTGTTATTTCAACTTATTAGATTTATTAATTAACTTATTAGATGAGAATAGCAACTTCTTCCGTAATGGTTTACATAAAGTGCAATTATTTTTGCCTATTTTGCAGAAATTTATTAGACAAATATCCTTGAAAATGTTTATTTCCTCTTATAGAGACCTAAAACGTTCAAATCCATCCAAAGGCCCATGAACAAGTTGATGTGGTGCCAAGTTTTAGGACATATTGGAAACATCAGGACAACAGGGTC